GGGAAAAGTTCATCGCTCGTACTATATCGAAGTCATGGTGCTATTTTGTGGCAAGTGCGGGCCATAATGTACACGAAACTGCCGGTCACGTCGCTCTTTTGGTCGATAGCCGGCCTTCTCACCACTGCTCAGCGGATGTGTGGGTCAGCCTCCCAGAAACCGTGCGTGGTGTATTCCTCTATAACGCCCAGGTGGCAACTGGTCAGGGAGCCAGGCTGGCGCGTGGGCTTCGTTGCACAGCCCACATTGGACGGTTTGTTGAAAGATATTGGCCAAGATTGTCAGTTGAACTAAAATTGCTTTGTTAATTTGAAGAGCTTTAAGTCTTTGCTATAAACTGTCCTAGCAAAATCTGTAGGCCCTAGTTTTTTCCTGAACAGCATTCTGCCAAACTTTTTCTTCATGCAGCGAGCAGCGCTAGAAATTTCATAACGTCATCAGTATGTCAGCCTCTCCAGAAACAATGAAGGCAGGTGGCCAGATGCACTGCTTGTGGTGTTCTATTTGTGGTGTGAAGCCGCGCATAAACAATTCATCTGTTATGCTCACCTGGCAACTAATCAAAAGGACTGCGTGTATGTCACTAAATAGCACACATTCCTTGTTTGTTCTGAATGTGCTGGCTAAGAGTATCTGTGGCCAGCGGTTGGGTGGGTTGGAGTGCCAGTTTACCCCATCAGGGTAAGGATTTCTAATAACCCGCGAACGCGCGAACGGTACGGCGCAGCCACGCCAAACATGCTTTAGCTGTAGACAGTTGAATAACGGACCTTTTGGTACAAAATTAGATATACCTTTCAGGGTTGCTGACCTGTTGTAGCGGTAGACCATGTCCCGGGACAGTGTGCCGGCATGTAAGCCGAGTGGGGCGATGATTCATGTTTGAGTGAGGAGAACAGTCACGACTCGGGGAGGTGCGTTACCCCGTAGGCACGCCGGCAGGGGTGCGTCACGGTGGCGCCGGCCAGTCGCACGCAGATCGTGTTGCGGGTATGAGTCTTGGAAGGAGTATAGGAGGGGCTGCTCGGGGCGCGTGGGGAGAGTCTCTGTCGACGTTGCGTGCGGCAGTTCGCCGTTGTGTGTGGGGTAGTCCAGCCGAGATGTGACCACCGAATACCAATGTAGCAGGTCGAAGTCAGGCTATGGTCATCAACGAAGGCACGTCTAGGGAATATTTTTAGCCCTATTCGAGAATAACGTGTTAGGCAATGCATATGCTACTTCGAGATGGTTTGTTGGACAAGGAGACAATTTATTAGGATTACAAAAAGTTCCACTGACCTTGGTTCAGGTATGAATGTCAGAGCAAGGTCGAAAGCGAGTGACTTTTGCATCGGAAAACGTGCTGTGTATCGTAGTTTTGATGCTCATGTAGAAATCCTTGATGGTAGTAGGGTAACAGACTTTTTGTGTTTGAGTTTTTGAAGGTCATTGCTGTCTTCATTAGTTCTTGACATTTATTTTGAATGATCATATACGCAAATTTTGAAGGCTTTTCGTAATTCTGACATCCTATAAATTAAGTCAGGTTCCTTGCCTGAGAGGAATCCGAGAGACATTTGGCTTAGAAAAAGGCCAGCCTAAAGCTGGTTGAGCTCAAAGGTCTGAAGGCACCTCAAACACCGATCTCGGTATAATTTGACCGGTCCAAACTTATTCTTCATGGGCTGAGCCTAGGACAAAACTCCACGATGACATTGGTTAGTCATTTGTCCAGGAACAATGAATGGGATGACCAAAAGCGCTGCGTTTGGTGTTGAAATGCTGCATATTGGTGAGAAACAAAAGAACTCCAGTAACAACAATGTTCTCATCCACATGACCGGTTCCTTGGCGCTCTGTGTTGCAGCATCTGACACGAACGACCGACGGAAAGCTTTGGATAGGTAAATCGCGATTCTTCTGAGTACGGCTGGGCATCGAGCGTTAACTACGGTTAACTTTTTTCCAAGCCTGGACCTTATAATATTTCACTCTATAAACATTTTTGTAACCGGCTTAATTTTCGTAAGATTTGATCTAAACAGAAATAGCACGATTGATATTTTTGCAGCCTATGGTTTTTAACTACCGCCGTACTCCATGTGGAAGTAGCTCAGCTTCCTCCATCCAATTTTGGAGACGGTGTATGTTCACTACATAATTGGAGATTTTAGTAGGTTGGGCATGTCTGTCTCTTTTTAATTTAGATCTAAACTTTGAAGTGAGATAACGACCAATATACATAGATGAGCAAATTATATCGGCATAGTCGTCAGCGTACAATTGCCCATTTCTAGCATTTCATGTTGAAAGCCATTAGTCCAAGTACCGCGAAAGGCAGAATTGAGCCTACTTTCCACTGCAGCCTCCCTTCCAACGCCTCAGCTTTAAAAAATTAGGGCGAAATCTGGAAGAATCATCGTGATTATGTTTCTGTGGACAGCTAAAGTAATTGTGTATCCGCCCTGTCCCTTCCCAACCCCACCCCGTAACTGGCTTTGCTGACTTATTCTCCTCACATCACGCAGCATCATTCTGTACACTGTAGTTAACTGAGGCATTGAGGGCTAGACAAATACGCCACCCCGATTTTGTGCGAAAATGGGAGATAGTTGCTGCCCTGCAACTTCCCGAAAAGGAGCTTGCGGGAAGTTCCAGGGCTGTAAAATGTAGTTCATCAGACCTTTCTTTCCGAATGGTGGCACGAACCAGTGAATTAGCATCTGCCTCAGCTCCAGTTGGGACGGGAATACCGTCATAAGCACAGAAAACGTGTAAGTATGCATTCAATTAAACGTAAGGTACCAACAGAAGAAGCAGGCAGCACAACCCCACGTTTTCTGATGCAGTCAGATGAACTCGTTGCCCCTCCCTCCCCTTCCACGGCAAACAAGGACAGCCTCGACAGTGTTTGCTGACGAGGTCCTAACAGTTCAGTAGACACTGATAATCAGCAAATCAGTGGACGCTGATGATCACCACGTGCAGTGACGCAGTGAAGACTGCTGAAATCCGATCGCCCGATCCGCCTGCGCTCGCCGCTGTTGGCGTCAGCGCGGCGTGGCCGAGCCGGATGTGTCATGAGCCGGGCGCTGATATCCTCTGGCGACTAGTCTCAGGGCGTCCGCCTAAGTCTGACAACGCGCGATCAATACTTGCAGGAGTTATTGCAGTCGGCTGGCAACCCGGCCGGTGTATCCGATCTCATGCAAATGGGGCTTTCGGACGCTGCCGTTCTCAGTTGATGCCGGCAAGTTCAGCCGGTCGGCGGCTGTTCGCCGAAGACGATGAGGCGAGCACTTCAGACCCAGAGGCGGACCCACTCTGTTTCTGTGTCGGTCGGGCACCGGGTCGGATGGTGTAAGCTTGCACGCACTGCATCCGAATGTCACCTCGGGCCGAGAAATGCCCTGGCAAGTCGCAATAATATTATGGAATTCGCCCCGGTAAGCCACTTAGCCTACGCGTTGGGAACCGCCATATCGGACTTGTGAATGCTACGTAACATTCCACTCGCAATTTAAGACGCAATCATGGGCTTATCGCGGATCTGCAATATGCATTAATGTCAAGTGAGTCGGTTATATGCAAATATTTAGAATATGCTAATGGCGGGTGGCATAAAGTGCTAGCAACTGGATAACCAGTTATCGCGGGCATTGGCTGTTTGTTGGCTGTCATGGAGAATTGATGAGGCGTGCAATCCAGACCACGTTTCCTTAAACATCTCGATAGTCAGCGGACTTCGTGGCAGGGATCAAGTCACCGCCATCAAATAGCCGTTGCCAAAGATGGGAGTAGTTTCCATGTGACTTTCCACGTGAAATCATACCGAGTAGTTTCCACGTGGTTTCTACACCGGTGCTGAGTCAGTTAGTGCTCTGCAGACACACGCGCGGTAAAGATCACGGCACGTCTGCCGAGCGCGGCGTTTCTCCTCATTATCAGCAATATACGAACGCCTTTCATGGGATTCGGACGTGCCCCGTGTCTGGAATCCAGGCCATCCGCCACGTCCGCCGTTGGTGGCGATCAGCATTACCACCATTGGTCGTTCAGCACGTCGGCCCGTGCTGCCGTAGACCGGCTAATGGTGCTGACAACAGGACGCCGCCTGCGTGTGGCGGGGACCCGCTGCTGATCACCATTGCTCTAAAGCTTCTCCCAGCTTTGATCATCATCGTTGTGTTACCAGGCCCCGCTACTGGCTGATGTTGTTGTGTAGCGAGGCCACGCTGCTGACCGGCACTGCTACGGAATGAGTTTCTGCTGCTGACCGGCAGTGTGCTGCAGCGAGGCCCCGCTGCTGACCAACAGTGTGCTGCAGCGAGGCCCTGCTGCTGACCAACAATGTGCTGCAGCGAGGCCCTGCCGCTGGCCAACAGTGTGCTGTAGTGAGGCATCGCTGCTGGCCAACAGTGTGCTGAAACGAGGCCCCGCTGCTGACTGACAGTGTGCTGCAGCGAGGCCCCTGCTGCTGACCAACAGTGTGCCGCAGAGAGGCCCTGCTGCTGACCATCAGCGTGCTGCAGCGAGGCCCCGCTGCTGACCAACAGTGTGCTGCAGTGAGGCATCGCTGCTGGGAAACAGTGTGCTGAAACGAGACCCCGCTGCTGACTGACAGTGTGCTGCAGTGAGGCCTCGCTGCTGGCCAACAGTGCGCTGCAGCGGGGCCCCGCTGCTGACCGGCAGTGTGCTGCAGCGAGGCCCCGTGCTGTAGCGAGGCCCCGCCGCCGACCGGGCAGTGGGCTGCAGCGAGGGCCCGCTGTTGACCGAGCAGTGTGCTGCAGCGAGGGCCCGCCGCTGACCGGGCAGTGTGCTGCAGCGAGGGCCCGCCGCTGATAGGGCAGTGTGCTGCAGCGAGGGCCCGCCGCTGATAGGGCAGTGTGCTGCAGCGAGGGCCCGCCGCTGATAGGGCAGTGTGCTGCAGTGAGGGCCCGCCGCTGATAGGGCAGTGTGCTGCAGCGAGGCCCGATGCTGATGGTGCGGCTGACCACCGCCCTCTCGGTCTGCCCCAGGGCAGAGACGATGCGCGAGGACGTCGGTCAGTTGTTGCGGGCTTCCGAAATTGTAGACGACCAGCTGGAGCAGACCGACAACAATCTCAAGTACCTGAGGGATGAACTGGACCTGGTCAAGCAGAAGGCGCACACGATACACCACCAGCAGCATGTAAGCAGAATGAGACCGTCTGGTGATGGCAGCGATGACAGTGACAATAAATATGACAGCATGGTTGTAAGAATGTGACAATTCCATGTTTTGGGGTTGGAGTTGGGGGGGAGGAAGCGTTCTTAATCTAAACTGCGTTCAAATAGTTGTATCCGAGTAAGCTTATTATGCTTAATAGTCGACCGGGACGATTGCTAAGTTTGAGTCACTATGCAAACGTCATGTGCCCATTTTACCGTTGGATCGTTGGTGGTGAGTTAATATGAAACGAACAACTTAGGTGTGTACGTTATAAAGTTGGCAGTCGACAATTCAGTTGCGTTACTCGGGGTAGATTATGTAACCGGAATGTTGCTCGGGCATGGGTGGATTATGTAACCTGAATGCTTACAATGCCAGATGTACGCTACGAATTGACATTCAGCTCGCAGACCCCACTTTGTCATGCCATATATATATATATATATATATATATATATATATATATATATATATATATATATATATATACGCATACACATTACCTTAGTTAGGTGTCGAAACGTGGCATTTGCCAGTGATGCAGCCGTGAGTCGTGTGATCAACCATGCGTCAAGTGACTCCCCAAAACATGGTTTTGTATTCCATGTCGTCCGAAGACCTATATGGTATCAAACCTAGATCTACACATACATGTATATGTATATATATATATATATATATATATATATATATATATATATATATATATATATATATATATGTGTGTGTGTGTGTGTGTGTGTGTGTGTGTGTGTATGTGTGTATGTGTGTGTGTGTGTGTGTGTGTGTGTGTGTGTGTGTGTGTGTGTGTGTGTGTGTGTGTGTGTGTGTGTGTGTGTGTGTGTGTGTGTGTGTGTGTGTGTGTGTGTTTACATCTAGATGTGATATCATATGGGTCTTCCGGCAACGGGATGAAATACAAAACCATGTTTGGGGAGTCACTTCACGCACGGTTGATCACACGGCTCACGTGTGTATCGCTGGCAAATGTCACGTTTTGACGCGTAAATAAGCTGAAATAACGTCCTTTGGTACTCCTTCGGCACTTCGACCCGTTTTAGTTTGCAAGGGAAACAAAGGCTGCTGAGGATGAGGGGCTTACATAGCAAACGTCACTAATTCATTGGGCCAGCTGCTGCGGAGTGACTAAAGAGAGACAGCCATGAGCCCATCTAGCATTGCGCAAGCGGCATACGTGATGTCACCAAGCAAGAGCTGAAGCATGCGTTGCCGGTCTGCACAACCACCAATGACTAGGCGACGGAGCGTGCTGTATGTTTTGTACCAGCGGAGCCCTGGTACTTGTCTGCATCTGGGTTAGCATGCTCCGCAGACAGAACGAGCGAGCAATGCTCCTCCACTGCTCTGACACGACGCTGCGTGGTAATGTGCTGCAGAGGCGTAACTTTTAAGGCGATGGCGCCAAATGGTCTGGCGCCCAATGATCGGCGATAAGTGCCACTCAAGCCCGTGGAGTTGCAGAAAAACAGGCGCGGAAATCGCTATCGGCCGAGGCGAACCGTGTCGTAAAGCGCCATCCTCTGGCCATGCCGCAGTCGTTGGCCTCCTGGACGGGGCAGCCGTCGGCGCCGTGGGAAGCGCTCTGGCGAGCCGGCACAGGGCGGCGCGTGCTGCGGCTGGCGGGCGGCCGGTGCGCGCTCGGCAGCCGCGGCGGTCGATGCCGCAGCAGGCACCATTCATTCCCGGTGGCCATCCGTCTCCGTTAGCCCGCGGACCCACCATGATCTGGCGTCGGTGCAATCCCCGGCGGGAACGTACAGTGAGCGCCGTCTGAGACCCGTCCCGCGGCAGTGCTCTGTGGGCCAACGCGCAAGACGGACAGCGTCCTGGAGGGGTTGGTTTTCTATTTTTACAATCAGACGTGCAACTTATTCTTCTTTGGGTTGTTAGCTGCGTTTTTCCCTTTAAGTCAGAATAGTGCCAACAGGGACAAGTAGCAACAAGCAATTTCTTAAAATGGTTTATGAAGTGGGCGAGCGGGGCTAAATGACGAAATTTACCCTAAAACACGTCCCTCCTGGAATTGGCTCACTTTCTTCTCAAAGTCGGCAGCAGGCCGGGTCGAATTTCAGGTGGCTGGGCCTTTCCCCTCGCCCCACCTGAATATGAAGTGCACACCTAGCAGCAAGTTATCGGAAATTTAGGAATCGGATTGCTTGCATGGCATGACGTAAGGAAATATTTGGAGCCCATCCTTGGGGCCAGTGTTTTTGTTCGAGTTTTTCATCATTCGGTTTCAATGGCTTCCTTTCAATAACGTTTGTCTTTGAAATACACCGACCGACAGTCGTGCGGACGCAGACCGTCTGTGGAATATAAAGGCCACATTTGATGTGCATTCTGGTAATACTGTTAAAGCTTTTCCATTGTTCCGTTGCCAGGACAGAAATGACTATGCGGTAGTAGATACCGCCAAGTAGCAAGATTGGAAGTTACCGTACATTTCCGTTGGAACCAACTCATCGGTGATCCTAGCCAATGCGAACTATGCACCCGACTCGGGTTCCGACACCGTGCGAGTTTTAAAATGGGTCGATTGCCGGCTGATTTCCTGAAAATGTAGGTGACCCCGAGACCGGCTCCGACAACGACGCAGCAGGCTCGACGCCGATCACAAGCGTGGCGGCATCCCAGGCTTTGGATGCGTTATTCCACTGCTATTTATACTGCTGCCGCTTTATTGCTGCCGTCGCGCAGTTGTTTTGAAACTTCTTCGAGAAATATTATGAGGCTTTGCATCACCTTGTAGTAGTATCTGGAGGCCTTCACAAGTTGCGGTGGAAAACATCTGGGTCTTCTAGGCGATGGCTCAGCCTCCGTCGGAGTTGCCAATCTTGCCTCCTTACGCACCGTGGGGTAGAGGCGATCGAGACCACTCCCAGCAGATTCTGCGAAGTCCATATCCTATGTGAAAGCTGCGGAATGAAAATTCAGAAGCGGGGTGGTATCCCGTGCAATATTCACATTTTTTACTTTAAACTATTTTGCATTATATCTTACTGTTGACATAGCAGATCGGGTCAAGCAAGGTCAGACCCTCAGGTTTAACCGTTTCAAATTCATATTCATATGTCCGTAAATTGGGGCGAATAAAAGTCAAAGAATCGCTACCATATGCTGTCAGGTTAGTGTGCGGTCACGTGATTTACGAGGAGGCTTTTGGCATGCTTTGGAAAGTCTACAGACGGGATTTTCGCATGCTGAAAGCTTAGCGCGACTTGACTTCGACCTGAACCTTCCCTGTCACCAACATTAGCACATGGATGCTCTGTTTCATGATATAACAAGATTGTGAACCAATTTCATGTAATTTCCCAGCTTGGCGCCGGTGGTTTAACCTCTCCAAACTTTCCGAACCACTGAAGAGACGCTTTGGTCCACTCAGAGCTATGATCGTGCTGCCGTCGTACCAGCTTTGATTTTAGAGCAGTCTTATGCTAGGTTTAAGAGCTTGGCTTTATGCTTTGATGTTGAAAACACAAAACCGTGATGGTTAGGCGTAAAATATGTGCAAATTGAATGAGTCAAAATGTGGTGATAATTCTACGAACGGTTTGGAAGACGACCATGATAAACTCGAGGCGGAGACACCAGGCTCTCAGTCCTGGGATGGGGTAAATACTCTGTGCGACCCATGCATGCATTGGACGTCAGATACGGACATCTCAGACTGAGCGTCAGGAAAATATTCAGCAGCCATTGTATGTAAAATCACGGCACTAACCTCGCCGGGTAGGACGTGGCGGCCCTATTTGGGACGGCAGGCAGCACCATGGCGCACGCCTCACCATTTTACCCGGTCACGAGATGATGTTTGTCCCTTACTGCCTGCATAACTTGCTTGGCTCGCCGACCGGCCTGGTAACGGCGGAAGTGCTTTTTGTGGCCAAGGCACGTGATTAAGCAGAATCGTGAGTCGATCTCTTCGGCGTGCGTGCGTGCGTGCCGATGGTATTGTGTCATTGCATGTTAGGAATGTTGACGCTGTTTTTATTGGGCATCACACTGACAGAGCAATCTAAAGAGCAACAGTCGCGTTGGCATGGTAACACTGCGGTATTTGGCGGCTAGGGTATGCACAACTGTATATAATGGCTGCAGCTATATTACCATGAACTTTACTGTCACCCAGCTCCGAAGACTTTTCATGCTTAAGAAGGAGTAGGAACATCTAAGTGGCTTGAGTGTCACCCTGATAAAGGGGGGGGGGGGGGTGATGCAACCACACCAATACATTTTTCCGAGGATTCCTTTCCAGCATGCCGGGAAATCGCGTCCGAACTTAGCTAGCCCCTAGGGCATCCATTGTGCGTAATTAAACTACAAAAACGTGCTCCTACTATTTCTGATGTCGAGGTAGGGCCGAATGTGCAATGCTGCATGCCGGTCGGTGGCCGGCGCAGGCGGCGGTGGTGAAACGGGCGGCAACCGACGATTCCTCGGACTGCACGCAGCGTGCCGATGCCGTTACATTTACGAAGCAATGCATCATAAATGTATGCCCAAAACACATAAGACTGTTTCGTTATACTCAGAATTAAGTAATAACATGGCTGTTTATGTTTCGTGTCGCTACGTGGCATGGTCTGGTATTTATAAACATGTAAGGCTGATAGTTTTGTTTTCAGGAACATTTGACATTTGACATTGGCATTTCAAAGCCGAAAGCTGACCAGCATTCCACCAAAAAATTGTGAAACGTGCATAGCCGGTATAATTATTGACCCAGGAACATGAAACTTATTACCACTCGAGAAACCCCGTAAGACCAATCCATTTTTTTCGCAAGACTCTATCATTCTTTCTTTGAAACAGGCAGGAGGGTTGCATCGACCCCCATATCAGTTCACGTTATGTACAACGGTTAAAGGTAAAACTGGACATTATGAAATGGCATAAGAGCACCGTTGCACATTTCTTGAAGCGCATAACAAGAAGGTATTGCAAAATACTGAATAAAACTCTCCAGACAATGGAAACGGGATATACGCTTGAAAAATAAAAAAACTTTACTGATGTTTGTTCGCGCGATCATGGGTCAAATAATGAAAATCAAGTAGGTGGAAGTCATGCAAGAAAATTAGGCATATCACACTACCTACGCCCTGAGCCCACTATTGATTGTGTACGATCAGGGAAAATGTACTTCCCCAGTTTGGGAACTTTGTCATCTTGCACTGGTGCAGCTCCTGCCTCCACACCGATTCCACATACGACATGCTATACAAGACAGGGACACGTGCACGTACTCCCCAACTTCTATCCCAAACCTCCAGTTTTGTGCGGTGGGCTTCGAACAAACAATAGTTCAGTTCCGCTGTAACGGTGGTGGGATTGCTCTGGGCTGCATTGAAAACTAATGTAGCTTCGACCTTGGTTGGCCAAAGATCAAGAGTGAGCAGTCTGTCATTTGGGTTTAAGAAATGGATGTTGATTGCACGTCAATTAGAAACCTTAACGAGTGCTCTTCGAAAAAGTTTAGGAATGACGTAAAAGTGGTTCAAACTCAGGCAGCCTCGATTTCAGTCCCATCCGCCAATCATTGCAAGGATCTTTCCGAAAACGAACTGGCTAAAGGGATGCACTGCACTCTCCCAAACATATCTGGCTAACGGCTCAAAGGGCGCTGGTAACGCCGAAGAACATGTCAATTCACCTGCCATGCATTATACCACCTCGCACTGCGCCGCGCCGACCATGGCTTGCCAGATGGCTGGTTGCCAGATAGCCTGGCGTTGAATATGAGCGCAGTCTCGGCGAACACAAACAAGAACACCTGTCATCCATCGTTATCCATGGTCGGTGCCCAGCTTTACACGAGCATGGTAATCACATGGCTTGTTGGGCTCTTTGAAGTAGTTGCACCTGGACACAGTTGTGTGCACGCCAGGTTAATGCCAGCAAACATATAAAAGGTCACGGCTGTACCATTGTGCTTCACTATGTTGTGGCTGGGCCAGCTCGGGCCAGCTGCACGACCTCCCCACCCCTTCAAATTGATGTGGACGATGCTGAACGGTTTATGTAGGGACAGTTTTCGACTCAACAATGAAGCTCGTTGCAACTTTGTCAAGTGATCGACGAGTTTTTAAACCGATTTCGATGTTCAGTTCGATGTTCGATGATAATAAAAGAGAGCCTCAGCGCTCATTATCGCGTGCACTGGGATTGAGTTTCAGTCCTCGGCCACATTGGCCTTTATGGCTGAAATCTCACCGTTCTTGCTGCACATACACAAGGCAGACATGAGCTAAATCGAGTTATTGCTTTAGTCACATTTCCATTCGTTTGCCAGTACATCTGCAAGCTGTCCGATACAGCCTGCAGCAGAGAACAGACGGGTTACCGGGTCGACACCAAACGCCAAACGGTCGGAAGGTCGTCCTATTTGTGGTCTGCCCGGCCTTTTGATTGGATTTCTCACCGCTCAGTGACTTGTTCGTGAACAGCAGAACGTCCGCTCGTGTATCAGTTCAGAAAAAAAACGATGCTAAAAGGGTTCCCTCGTCATATTGATCCCACTCATCCGGGCTCGGTGATATAAGCTTTATCGGTCTGGGCTAACTCGGTGTAATTGAACTTGACCCAACTGATTTGCCCTGGCTTGATATGCTGCCCTGGCCCCCATCCCGATTGGTCTGAGATGCCGGTTCTGTCGTTGCTTCCCCTGCTGGTGTTTTTCGACTGACGCTTATTTATAAATGTTTGCATTATGCCGGGAAACGAATGTGCAGTGAAGGCCGCGTGTCGTTCGGAGTCCCGGTATTTTGGGCGCTTACTTTGCACTCAGCATGCCGACGACATGCTCACCTCCTGTTTTCCATCGGCGGGTTGAAGCGAGAGGTGCGGCTGTAGCCGGGTGTCCGCCTCGACGGCTCAGTTTAACTGCATGCATCCATCAGCATGCAAAAACAAATATGATGGTTTACAGACTGCCTCGATGTGTACTGGGACCGTGAATCAGAGGTCAGTTTGGGAGTCAACGGACAGCACGGGCAGGTCAGAGCTTGGGTGGCACGAAACCAGACGTCAGTACTTTATTATTACTTTCATACACGCTACACAACTGTAGAACACTGGTGTTCTCCATTGCTGTGTTAGTGAGAAGAGCAATGGAGGACAATCTCCATCCGAAATGGGAAGACTCTCACTAAGTAGAGAGTAGTGGAGCGATATGTGTTGGACGATACACAGCAATGCACGGACTAGTTAATTCGTTCTGAGCTGTTGCGATGCGTTAATATGTACATAAATACGGCTCTCATGTGCTGTATGCTAAAAGTATGTATTCTGTTGTCCAATGTGCTCAAAAGACACTTCGGAACGCATGGGCAGGGAACCGCACAGCAGAATTTCGAATCCGTAATATCATCGTTATACCATGGTGCGATCGTCGGTGTAGGAAATGACTGCGTTAGAAGCACCGACCCAGCGCTGCTTCTTATTGCTTTTTTGACCGAATGTTTCTCACTTTGCTGTGTTATGCATTCACTGTAGAGAGAAGTGCAGCGACGAACAGCAGTTCATGTTGGGCAAGTTTGTGCTAGTTTATCAGCAATAGGTGGACACCTGATTCAAGTCTGAAACGAAAAGCTTTCCCGTGCAATATCGATGTAAATTAAGGCTTCAATTGCGACGTAGAGTTTACGCCTGTCAAAAGGGTAACGTCAGGGGTCGAGTCGCATCGAATCGAGTCGAGTCGAGTTGAGTTGAGTCGAGTCGAGTCGAGTCGAGTCGAGTCGAGTCGAGTCGAGTCGAGTCGAGTCGAGTCGAGTCGAGTCGAGTTGAGTCGAGTCTAGCCGGAACGAATTAAGCTGGGTGTAGTCGGGTCGCGTCGGGCTGTCGGCCGTCCGCGTTCCATTCGCATCAAAGCGATGCTTTATGTATGGGAGATGGAACACAATTTGTCTTGAAATAGAGGCGACAATAACGCGAAAGTTGTGCTGAAAAACGGGCGACGCGTAATGAGGCTGCTACTCATTGAAATGTAGATGACGAGGAATATCACACGTTGTACTTGCCCGGAGCGATGAAACGCGACGAACATAGAAACTGAAATATGCTCTCAAATGCGCGACTGATTATGTGGTAAATGTAATTTAGTCGCCACCAATGACAGCGGGAGGGCATCACGCTCATTTCAATGTTGGAAGGCCAGCCGGCGATGGAGAAGGCAGATCGATGAGTTAATGGTTAAAGCTCTTCAACAGCGCGACCGTCACCGGTCCTATGGGCCGCACAGAGCCTATGCGAACCCCCTTCCCCTTCTACCTCATGTCTGGTGATCCCTGGTTACAGGCATGGCAAAGCCACCCTGATTTACACCTTCAGCTTTGCGGTATTTAACACCATGTTACGGTTTTGATTTTTTCAGGCAATAAACAGGCTCACCCCTCCCCTCTGTGGGCCCATCATGTACGGTCTGGCATCACGGCCGTCTCAGCTAATGCGTGGCTGCTCCATTCTAGAAATCGGAAGCGGCCATCAAGGAGACCACCGTGACGGTTCATGAAAAAATCGATGGGCAGGTGAGCCGACTGGGCGAGGCGCTGCAGCACCGCTTCAACCTGATCACCATCGACCTGACCATGATCGTCGACACCATCTTGCGGGCGCAGAACCAATCTCAAGTTCCGAGTCCGCCGCTCGACTACTGGGATGACGACTTTCACCCTCTCGAAGACGCGGACTTCCGGGCCAAGTTTGTGAACGAAATACGCGTGAAGATCGCGGAGGACTCGAAGAAGATGTTGGGTTCCGCGTGCGCTGGCACCACAGTGCAAAAGTCATCTGAAGCATTGGAGACGAGCATTGTAAAAACAATAAAATCTGCTATCAACTCCAGCTTGGGTAAGAGACTGGTCATCGCCGGATAGCCCAGCTTCTGTTTCCGGGAGGGCCGCTATTGGTCCGGCTCTCATCAAATTCCCAGTGCTATTAGCGCAGCATTAATTGATTCAATGTCTGAGTGTATGTGCGCTGAGGCCGGCATGCGACGCGTGGCTTGTCAAGGGGTCCTTTCTTTATTCGGGGCCGTGTCGATGGACCCATTTCGGCATTAATGAGGATCAGAACCGCCGTAACGTGGTACAACTGGATGATGAGCCCTCGTGATAGCACGCAGTGATTAGACACCCTCATATTTTCGACTATTATTCCACGTTTCTGGTAGCATAATATTCGACGGCCTGTGGGAGAATTAGAGCCCCCAGTGCACTGGAGATTCCTGGAAGTTTGGAAGCTCCTTTCTAGCAACCTTTAAAAATCGTATGGCCAACTTCGATGGGCCCCTGTGGCGCATTCTTTGCCTGATATCTGGTATGTCTCTGTGTCGTTTTGTCTTTAAAGACCTAGCAGAAGGGAGTCAGACATCGTTGGGAGGCCATACAAGGTGGGTTTGGACAAGGCATTGGAGGATCCGCCTTTATGATTACGTCCTCGTGGAAGTATAAAGGGCAAAGACTCCCTGGCGCATCAGAACCGTCAGGATTCACAAATCACATTGCTGTAAAATGGAATGGATAGGCGTCCAATGACAGCCGCGGGAATTCTGTAAAGAGAAGATATGAACCTATAGTTCACGTCTTACATTTATAATATTTGAGGGTGACTTATTATTGCAAACGCCATAAACATGATTCATGGATATTGTTGAAAACGAAATAGGCTGCTAGCCTGTCAAATTTTTCTGGCACAATCATCTCATTTTAAGGCACAGCATGGTTCACTTAAGACCGGCTTTAAAAAAGACGACACTAACCGCCTCTCCGTCGACATCATCATGATGCGCATCTATGAGTCGGAAAGTGGCGAAGTAAGTTCACTGAAGAAGGAAGATCCATTGCCACCCACTGTGATTCGCCCTTCTCTCGTGGTTTTAGGTCTTTACTCGCTTTGGTCGCCTGGGTCTGAACCCCGTCCCTGAAGTCGCGTGACGGGCGGACCCAACGGCCGCGCTCGAGCGCCTGTGACCGTCTGCACAAATTGTCCCGCACTTTTGCTATCACGATTATCCGCCGCCGCTTACGTCAACTGGCGTTGATTTGCGTCGTCGCGACCCGGAATTGTCGAGATCAGGTTTTGGTCTCACCAGAGGTAGATTTTTGTCATTGTGCAATGCTACGCTTTCCGCGCTAATGACATGGGAAAAGGTGTGTCTCGTGTTTATTCAGATGATGTAGCAAGGTAACACCGATCAAACGAGTTGTATTCTAATGTTAGCCAGTTATGCATACCGACTTCTTGCGCCTCTGGACAGCCGGAAACTGCATAAAACTGCACTCATTGTTAAGGATAGCGGCGTCGAGAAAGCATGACAGCCGGTTGGGCCTGACCCTTCAGATTCAAAGACTTTCCACTAATCAAGCAACACGCAACCGGCATACGGCCTTGTTCGCAATTAACCCCAGGATATTGCACGGAGAGAAATTATGTAAAAACCGCCCCCCCCCCACCCACCCCCTCACCTTTGGGATACGTCGTCGCTCATTAATGGTCTTTTGTACTGGGCCGTGCTCCCCTGAAGCACAAAAACATCCGCAGACTATTATGAAGCCCTTCGTTAACAATTCACTATGTCACAAGGCGCTTCTTAACGACTGTAACATGTGACTGGTTCACAAGCAATACCGTGCCGCACATCAGCCTTCAGCACATCATATGTGACATATGACTGCACCAGACGTATAAATGCGCCACACACAATGCCTTAATACGCCGATGGTGAGATGTAACTGTACCGCGCGCAGTTCTGTGTCACACAACAGCCCTAACAGCGTCGATTTATGTCACACCGAGTCGTGACTTCGCTCACAGTGTGTAATACTATGCCATTCATCACTCCTCGACACGTCGCTATTTGACACGTGACTGTATCAGCATGCGGCACTGCTCCACATGCAACTCCACAGCACATCCATGAGATACCTGGCTGAACCACAAGCCATGCTCTGCCACACGCCGCTTTTTAAACTGACTGCACCACACGTAACAGCGCGTCACCCACACTCGTGTGAGCGCACTTCTCCCTATCCCTCTGCGCCACAGGTCCCCTGCCCCGTGATTGGCCGACGCCACCCCGCCTGACCCGACGGCCGTACGCTGTCCTCAGAGATGGCCGCGTCAGAACAGTGGCGGCCCACCGACTGCTCCGACGTGTACCGACAGAGCACGCGCAGTGGCCTGTTCACCATCTACCCGAATGCATGCTCAAGAGGACACCAGATGCAGGTGCGGCGTTGCTGTGGGTCATATGCAGAAGTTTTCATTGTTTCAGCTGTTACTGTGCTTCGTTCCCAAAGTTCTGACAGCGTGTTATATTACCTTCCTTCTCACTTAAAAGCACGGAAACACGGAAAGCACGGAAAGTGTTTGTGTGTCAGAACATGCATGGCTTTTTTAAGTTGTCTCGTCATTGTACGACAAGTTCGACTACCGAATAAATGGCTCAGGTTTCTGTTTTGGCCGATCCGTATGGCCTAAAGCGAGACTAAAAGGCTATTCGACGGCATGAGCTAGGTCAACTATCTCAGCCAGCACGGCCTTGAGCCATTTTACCCGATGTTTGTCATATCCGGGCGCCGTGACCGCCTTTGTGCCGATAGTGCAGTGGTTAACACGTCTTCGTTGACTACCACAACTTGGAAGCACAACTGGTCCTGGAAACCAGAGGTGCGGAGTTTGATTCTCCTCGGTGCCCACCCTTCCTGCCAGGACGAAAGGCAGGCAACGTCACATAGCCTCAGCAGCTGAGTGCGTCGTTAAGTCCATATGACGTCGGCTGACCCGCCTCGGTGTCTTTGACTCCGATAGGTGTTCTGTGACTCTGTTAGGTGTGATATGACTCCGGTAGATACTCTGTGACTCCAACGGGTGTTTTGGTGACTTTTGCAGGCGTTTCGTGACCCCGGTAGGTGTTATGTGACTCCGATCGGTGTTTTGTAAATCCGGCAGGTGTTTTGTGACATGGAGACGACCGGCGGTGGCTGGACGGTGGTTCAGAGACGCGGACAGTTCGCGGACCGCAGCAGTCTCGACTTCTACCAGGACTGGGCGACCTACAAGTGGGGCTTCGGAAACATCTCCGAGGAATTTTACTTGGGTGAGCTGTTGAATTGTGTCACATTTGTGTCATATTATGCTATCCCGTTTTAAGCAAAATCGATGTTTTAAATTATTTGCATGCTGACATTATGCTAACGGGTTGTTTGGTGCTAAATAGAAGTGTAATGAACGGCAACCGATAAGTTTTTACAAAACTTTAACATATACCTTTCTTCTGTTTGCGTGCGCGTCATATTGATGTTTTCATCTTCAATGCATTAGGCATCGAGTGCGCTGATTTCGGAGCACATTGTCCATGGCGACTGGATATTTATTTTACGAATTGTTAGTGACCTGTTTATACTAAGAGGTCATCAAATCCACACCAGTTTTTAGACATTCGTTCTATATGGACCTTTAAATTAACGCAGATGGGACTTTGCATGAATGGCCGGAACGATCCTTCAGAATAGGTATACTTGTGTGTGTTTTACATCCAGTAACACAAATGTGACATAATGTGTGAAACAACCAGTAACGCCAAACGTTATCAAAATGAAGTAATAGGTGCCTTGAGATCATTGATGCATGATGCTTTGCACCATTTCGCGCAACAGGACCACATTTTTCGCTTCTGCTGCGCCGGATGCGGAGCTGATCAGACTGTGCGGACGGGACCCACGTGTAGCGTGTGTCTGTGCGACAGGTAACGAGCCGATCAGACTGTGCGGACGGGACCCACGTGTGGCGTGTGTCTGTGCGACAGGTAACGAGCCGATCAGACTGTGCGGACGGGACCCACGTGTGACGTGTGTCTGTGCAACAGGTAACGAGCTGATCCACCTGCTCACGGCCAGCAACGATTTCGTGCTGCGCGTCGAGCTGGAGGACTTCAGCGGGGACCGGCGCTATGCTGAATACCAGCACTTCAGCATCGATAGGGAAGACAACCAGTACCGGCTGAATGTAGGCAAATACTCCGGAAACGCAGGTACTGAACAAACGTACTGGCAGTATGATGCAGGTTCCGTTCTAAGATGAAGTTTGCATCTAGGTCTATGTATGGATGCATCGACAGCTAGCTAGATAGGTCGACAGATAAATAGACTATTAGAGAATATATATATATATATATATATATATATATATATATATATATATATATATAGTAATTTTGCTGATGGCTTAGCTATGATCCATGTCATTTTAAATGTTTTAAGTGTAACCTTATAAGATGCGATTCATCATGGTCCATTATCATGTCTGTCCCATGGCCGAGATGTCCGCTTAAATCCTCTCAAGTAGTCAGGTGTACAAGAAAGCTGCAGGCAATAAAATGGCATTGATCATCCGCAAAGATGGCAAAACAGAATGCGTACCAAGCATCCAAGCATACAATCAAAACGCCTGGTACTCTTCGACTGCACAGCCTTCCATATTGGAAATGGGAATAGAAATATTATCAGCACATATCATCACAGCAAGAAAGCGTATTGTCATCATAAGCATATAAATCTTCTGCTATCTGAGAATGAATGTGTGGAGTACGTACCGTACTAACTGTGACAGCGAGATGGAATGTGTCTCCTGGTAGTATAACATGTAGCCGCGGGTCCAGTGATACAGCTGTAACCATAGTTGGGCCGCTGCCCGGCGACACCTGAAAGTAGATACAGATAGGAGCCAGAGAGGAAGCTTGGCAAAGCTCATATGTAGACAACGGTGTATAGTTCGCACTCTCTTGTCGTACATCTCACGTATCAAGCCTCTGAATTAGGCGCAAAACTGATGGCGCGTTTGTCTCATCATTTGCTCTACCGAACAAGGTGCGTGATTAAAAAAATACTGCTGAGTCTTGCTGCTTGGGGTGCTCATTCGTTGTTCATGATCCATTGAAGCATTCGGTTTTTCGTTTTCGATCGTTCGCGACGTCGCAGATTCCTACAGTAGTGCTCAGAATTAAAATATCAGTTTGGAGTGTTAACATGGTAAACAAGTGTCTTTTTTCAACAAACGTATCTTCCCTCATGCGTTGACAAGGTTGACACACCGCGGTTTCAGGGGACGCCATGACCTACCACAACGGCTTCGGCTTCACGACGAAGGACCGGGAGCACGACAGCTGGCCGGGCAAGAACTGCGCCACCCACTACCGCGGAGGCTGGTGGTTCGCCTCCTGTCACCGGGTCAGTACAGCTCCCACACCGTGCTGAACTCGGTCCGGTGCTGTAGCTGAACTCGGCGTCATCTCCGATGAGCGCAGCAGGCGCTGGGGAGACTGGGGCTGCGGCAAATTATCCTTTCGCGCACGTGCTTACCGCATACAGACAATGTTTGCGATATCAGGGAAGTATTTTGGCGTTGCATGGCCAGGGCGTCGATGTCCCCGAAATCTAAAAAATATTTACCAATCATCACCAAGCAGTTTAGACGGCAGTTATAACGGCAGTTTTTTTGTCGACGTAGGCAGATGTATGAGCCGATTTATGTGCACAGGTTATTTTAACGTGTGAATTGTTGTGTTACAAAGCACATGGTTGTAATGCTTACAACATTTAGTACCTGTCACGCAGGCGGGGTACAGGAGCGATGATTCGCCGCTGGTCTTGCTCCAATCAAATCTCACCGTTGCTGACGCTTATATCTGGCTCTCCTCAGGCCAACCTGAACGGCGTCTATCTGTCCGGCCACCACTCCAGCTACGGCAACGGCATCATCTGGTACCCGTGGCGCGGCTACTACTACTCCCTGCGCTCGTCACGGATGATGGTCAGACCTCGCAGGACCCACGAGAACAGCCCCACCAACAAGCGGTAGAGCAAACCAGCGAGCGGCGCCCCCGCCCCGACGGCGACATGGTAGACCAGCCAGACACGACAGATTCGGACTCTAACACGAGAGCGGTGCTACACCCGACTTCCAAGCGGTGGGGGTCGCCTGCACTCAGCGGTGCCTCGGTGTCGGCTGCTCCAGTGGTCGGCGCCGGCCGGCGGGGCACTGGCTCGCCCTGCTCAGTAGGGGAGGCGGGTTGGGTAGCGGGCTCCTCGCCGCGGGTCGTGACGCTCCCAGGCTGCTTGACCTGCGTATCGGCACGACGCGGTGTGTCCCACTCAGCGGGCCGCTCGGCATCGGGAAGAACTGCGTGCCTTACGGGTCGTCGCACAGCCCGTCTTTGTCGTGTCTTTTCGTGTCTGCTTCGAGCCAGTATTTACTGTGGGGAACGAGAACCGCCTCTGGCAAAGCTTCTTTCCAGCTATTAGAGGCTTGGTGCGGGATTGGTTTTGTGCCAGTCGGTCGATGGAGCATGGCTTTCGTCTGCGCTTATGCTTTCCAACGACGATGACTCCATGAGGCGATTGACGCCCTTGAAGTATTTCAATCCGGGGAGTACGACTGGTGTCGTTCTCGCTGGAGACAGAGCACTGCCATTTTCCATTGTCGCATTATGCCAGAGCGGAGACTCTATAGACTGCCAGCGTTTGTGCACCACCAGGTACTGCGTGCCTTGCGCTAGTTACATGCTAGTGTTGATGGGGTCTGTGCTGGAAGTCTGTGAAGTCCGAAGTCTGCCTGTGCTTTGTGAAGTCGTCTGTTATTTTCAAACGAACGCCCGGCCCAAGTAAGAACGACTTAGGCGGAAATCGCTGGGTCCTGGGCTGACCCTGTCCGCGTGCGACCCTGTGACGTGTGCTGGCTCCCAGTGAGCCCGTGGTGATCTCTCGCAGCGCTGGAGTTGGCCTGGGTTCGAGGCCCCTGTGTGGGGTCTGCGCCATTTTCACAGCCCTAACTGCCTGTTTGTGGATCGCACACGCTCCATAAACACTTCCAATGCCGGTGCCTCAAAAACTGGAGGTGCTGAAATGGTTTGATCGTGCTAGTAGGAGTATTCATGTTACGGATAAGGTCGTTGTTTTGAATTGTGATAGTTTTTCCGCATTTTGCGCTACTGCCGTCTAGTACAGGTCACCGGGGAGGCTGAGAAGATGCAGTTAGCTTGACGTCACGCAGGCGTGTGGTGACGCTCATGTTTACAGGGTGAACGTGCCGTAGTGTATGATTCCGACCAGAATCAGCTTGTGGGTGGTGTAGTGATGCATCGTGCTAGACGAAATCGATTCCGCTTTCATCGCAATACAATGTAAGCACGCACTGCGCGTAGGTCGTTAGAAATTGCTGCTGCCTTTCCGTCAGACTTGATAGTCATGGCGTTTGCTAGAAAACAACCTATGATGTTCGCTTGACGAGTAGGCCTGATCATCTCGCTTATGCTGTATTCCAGCTTTGTAGGGGTTAGCTCTCAAGCTTTTGCACTACGCTGCGAACACAGTGATGCAAATAGTACTCCAGCTGTTGCCCAGTATATTATACTTCCTGGTGAAATGGCGTGTTTGGAATGCTATTTCTAGAAGCCGATACCAGAATGGGGCGCGCTATAGTTCGGCCCAACACGCGTGTTTGGCACGGGACAGAGCATGCTCGCCTCACCGCTGCTCCAACTGTCTAGATTCCGCGTATATGTCAGCTTGGCCTCTGATCTACAATGAACATGACAGCACACCGTCCAAGGAGTTGGAAAGAAATGCTGGATGGTGCTGGCAAATTTATCGAATATATAGCAAGTGGCCGCATTTTTCTACAACTTGGGCGACATGTATCAGTATGTGTGCCTGCTAAGACGCAGCATCACGTTTAATGCATAGGAAATGCACATTATCCTTCCCTGTACGGATCAAATGTATTCCCCAATTATAGAGGGATCAGGTTAGAGGATGAAGGTTTACTTTATGGTGGCTGCATTGCATTGGCTGGTGTGGAACCCGGGATACCGCGACTGGCCTGTATTCTTCCATGCTTCGACAACATGTTTGAAATTGTAGGTCACGCTGCATTTGTAGCTGATAATGTGCCATAGAGAGAAAAGATCCGGTCCAATCTGCATAGCGTGAATCGAAAGCTATGATTATCGACCCGGTCGTCTGCTGCAGAGACATTCAGCCAGTTCTCAGTATCGGTCACGCATTCGCAGCATCAGAGGAACGGAGATTAATAGTTAACGTTCACGGCTTATATTGGCATCGATATGATGCATGCACTGGCTTAATTCGTCATGTTGCACTATAATCAACAATTCATAAAAACAGGAATATCACCGCCATTTATTACAACGCGAAACGGCTTAAACTAGAGGCTGTCACCGGAGACACAGCCGCCAGCTCCGCAGACAGCCACCTCAGTCCGATCTCAGTGACAGTCCGTGTATTCAAGGTATCACAGAGGAACAGAGCTTACTCGTTAGCATTACGGTCAACACATTCGCCACTGGCTTGGGACCCTGGTGTTTTTGCAATCGGCCGTCAAAAGGTCCTCGTCTTGTTGCAGAGGTGCAAGTGAGTGCTTGCCTAAAGCGTGTTGCAAGAAGCGGTTAACTAATTTTGGGCAAGCCCTTGTGGAGCGGCTTTTGCACAAATGTGATGTCTCTGAAACATCGTTTGACCTAAACGAACGGAATTTCTGAAGTCTGCTTGCTCTGCTTGCTTTGCATACTTCACAAGGGTCTATGTCGCGTAGGCCATGTCAAACGTATGCTACCATTGGTTTGACGTCACGTACACTAAGTAAATAGCATGCACGTCACCACATGATGCTTTTCTTGCCATATACAATGCATATCGTGGCTGATACTTCCATTGCAATATACAATACACACCGTTTATTCACATAGGATTCATGATCACGTACAACATCACTCAAAGAGCGATAGGCTACACCACTCAAGTGCTCTTTGGCGAACCCAAATGATGTCGCCAAAAATATTTTGCAAATGCATCTTAAAAAGTACGTCCAACCCTGGTCCTTCGCGAGCTGGGTAATTTTGATGCCAACAAATTCCTAGCAATATGTGTGTTCGGTGCTGATGGTGGTTCGCTGAGCGGCTCCATGTGGCAGCCCGCTGTGTGCTGTCAGTCACCGCATCGACCCCGGCTGGGACAGGGTAGGGAGCTGACCGTGACGTCAGTGCCTGGAGCGGCAGACGCCAGCTGGCAGCTGGAGTAGTGCCGGCCGTCAGTCGTCGGCCGCTGAATAAGGACATTGGCTGCACGTCGACAGCTGGGCTGCTGAGACTGTCAATACTTGGGGACGGGCAGCCGAAGGCGCCAATAGTAATGCGGCAATCAGCAGCCTGTACAGCTGCCGCAGCTGCAGCCGTCAGCAGCTTGAGTGGTGCAGTCATCAGCAGCCGGTGCGACTGTCGGCAGCTAGTGCAGCGTTGGCAGCTGATGCAGCCATCAGCAACTGGAGTGGTGCAGCGTTCAAGGAGGGCTGTCGTCAGCCGACGAGGGGGCTGGACGAGTGGCCGTCGGCATTGTGTAGCCGTCAGCAGGTGGAGTGGTGCAGCGTGTCGCCTGGCGATGAGGGGCTCGACGAGTGACCGTCGCTGCCCAGACGCAGTGTGTAATCGCCAGAGGGTGGCAGCGGCAGCGGTCGCGGCCGCTCCTCGTGCTCGCAGATCTCGGCGTACAGGTTATCGGCGGCCGGCGACGGCGGCGCGGCCGGCGCCACCGCGTCCGCCACGTCACCGTACTGCACCTCGCACGGCCGGGAGAACACGAACGACGTGCTGACGTCGCGGTTGGAGCGGCCGCGGCTCAGGAAGAAGCGCGACACGGTCTGGCGGAGGCTCCGACCCGGCCGCCGCTCGCCGTCCAGGCTGTTGGACTTGACGAGCCGGCGGGCGGGAGGGGCCTGCGGCGTGGGCGGCCGCGCGAGCCGCGGGGAGGGCGCGGCGACGGCCGCCGGCGCCGCGGCCGGCCCAGCCGGGGGCAGCGGCGCGCTGGCGACCCCCGGCGGCGACGCCCCCACCGACCGCTCGCTCAAACTCGGCGTCTTCTGCAGGCGGCGGCCGGCCGGCGGCGACGCGTCGAACACGTCATGAGAGACCTTCATCTGGTGGCGCCACGCGTGACCCTGGCGCTCGCACGTGACCAGAGCCTTGGTGAATAACTGCGAGGTGCGCCGGTCCAGCGGGTCGACCGGCTGCAGGCGTAGCGTGGCGTCCGCGTTCAGCTCGAACAGCGTGCTGGGCGCGTCCGGGTCCGTGGTGCAGCCGAGCACCAGCCGCTCGGGGCGCACCTCCTGCAGACACAGCAGGCCTGCCGGCGACGGCGCGCGTGGTCAGCGCCGGGCACACACGCGGTGGTCCGGCACGGACGGTCAGGGGCAGGGGGCATGCAGCGGTGCGCCGCTGGGCACGCCGGCCACTGTCAGATATGCAGGCATTCTTTGGTCGGGAAACGCGCGAGAATTCCAGATCGCATATGTTAAGACATTTCTGAATGACCCGATGACAAAAAAAAATGAGCAAAGAAAACTGGAGCGCGTAGGGAAAACTTCATTCAGCTTGAAATGCGCGGGCAACCGAGTCGAAACCACGCACGTCCGGCCAAACAACGATTAAACCTGCTACATCACGGCTACAGGGGTGGTTCACGTACCAGTGAAGTTGCACGGCATACGTGGCATGAATCCGCACACCAGCTTGACGGTAACGGGCGGCCGTTGTTGCCGGAGAAGCTGTGACATCAGGAACACGTGGTCCAGCGAGGCGGTCGGCCGCGACGCCGCCGAGTAGAAGCGCCCCTCGGCGGAGAACGGCAGAAACAGAACCTGTAAATCCCGACAATAGGTGGTCAGAACTCGGCGAATATTCTCCTCTTGGGAGATAGTAGCAAAGGTTCGGTATCGGATTGTCGATTCGACAAGTCCGCCGGTCAGGGTACCTAGCTGCCCTCTGGCAAAGCGCAGCAGCTCACGCGTGTTGAATTGTAGCGGGCTGACCACGACGGGCGGGGTCACAAACGTACTGCTGCATGAGTAACAGCGATATTGCCCTGACGCGGCCGCGAGGCTCAGGCATCACACCCGGGGAACCTGTCCAAACATTCTGACCATGTTGACGCATGGTTGTCCCGCACAACTTAAACGTCGGTAGCCACCATAACGCCAAGACTGCAGGAGCGTCGATCCACCGCGCAGCCTGCACGGGGCTCGTTTGTATATTCGAAGACACAAACTGGCAGACGAGTCTGATAAGGCTGAAGGGACGGCTATTTGCGCATTTTAAGCGTCAAAGTGGAGTATTCAGGGGAATAGGGATTCGGGGAGCATAAAATACATTCATGCTGAAGCCGATAACACGGTTGCAATAGCGACGCTCAAAAACTTGCCATAAAAGAAAAGGCTTCAAGATCTGCATTACCTAACGTTTAAGATCAGCGTGATAACCTTTTAGTTAGCCGAAAGTCACTGATGCACCAACCTGACTCTGGAGGCTAGCGGCAGTTATGAATAATGTATGGCATTGGATCATAAGACGGCAGGGGCGAACTGAATAAATGCCTCTGGATATTGCGGGGTGTTCAAAAACAATGCTCGGAAAAAGAAGGCCTTTTGGACAGCATACACGCTCGTCACCGGACTCTAGCCTCAGTGTCACAAGCTTACAAGCTGGGTGCCTTGTCTCGACCCAGAAGTCAACGGTTGGGCAATACTCGAGATCATGTTTGGTCATCCGATCGCTCTCGGGTTTGACGCAACGCGCCACGTGCGTAACAGCTCCCGCCAGGCTACGCACGCGGAACAGTACGGTGACTCACATCAGATACCATTGACCTTGTCACGTTTCACAATCGGAATCTGACGCTTTTCATGCCTAGTCAGCGTTATTTGCGCACAGACCAGCCGAGTTTCCAGTGATGTGCTGTGGAGGTCGACTTCGTCTCCCACGCGCCAAATCTCCAGGCCACTGTTTTGCAACGCAGCTGCGTGCAAAGTACGCAGTTGGCCGGGGCAATCACATAAAATAAACCAGGACGTAATAGGCTAGCGCGGTAGCTAAACGTACGTGGGAATGACGTAACATTCTTTCCGAAGTCCCAGTTCCCGTAATGGGCAAACTGCAAGGAAACTGGCGACTTTAGTGGTCTTTAGAATTGACCGGCAAATCATTAATCGCATACTTCAACAAATTTCATCCACGGGATATGGCGGGAGAAAGAACCCTATTAGTGTTAGGTCATAGCCCACGGGTGAGCGTTTGCGGCACGCACTTGCCCACGCGGACAACACCCAACAACGGCCAGCAGCACAGACGCCCTTGCTGACTCACGCAAACCCCCGCACTGCCTCCAACACACGTGGCCACGCACCGAGCCCATCTGGAGAACCTTGAAGGAGGCGACGCCCGCCGTCACTCGGGGCAAAAACAGCGCTGACGCCCACCTGCCGGCAGCGCCGCCCCTCCCCGGGCCGGCGGCCGCTCTCCGGTCGCTCACCATCGGCGCACGGGACCGCTCACCACCGGCGCACGGAACCGCTCACCACCGGCGCACGGGACCGCTCACCATCGGCGCACGGGACCGCTCACCACCGGCGCACGGGACCGCTCAGCACCGGCGCACGGGACCGCTAAGCATCGGCGCACGGGGCCGCTCAGCACCGGCGCACAGGACCGCTCAGCACCGGCGCACGGGACCACTCAGCACCGGCGCACGGGACCGCTAAGCATCGGCGCACGGGACCGCTCAGCACCGGCGCACGGGACCGCTAAGCATCGGCGCACGGGGCCGCTCAGCACCGGCGCACAGGACCGCTCAGCACCGGCGCACGGGACCACTCAGCACCGGCGCACTGGGACGCTAAACATCGGCGCACGGGACCGCGCTACGCACACGGCACGAGGCGCTAGCATCGGCGCACGGGGCCGCTCAGCACCGGCGCACAGGACCGCTCAGCACCGGTGCACGGGACCACTCAGCACCGGCGCACGGGACAGCTCACCACCGGCGCACGGGACCGCTCAGCACCGGCGCACGGGACCGCTCACCACCGGCGCACGGGACCGCTAAGCATCGGCGCACGGGACCGCTCACCACCGGCGCACGGGACCGCTCAGCACCGGCGCACAGGACCGCTCAGCACCGGCGCACGGGACCGCCCAGCACCGGCGCACGGGACAGGTCACCACCGGCGCACGGGAGCCAGACCGGCGTACGGGACAGCTACCGGCTACTTACCGCTCAGCACCGGCGCACGGAACCGCTCACCACCGGCGTACGGGACCGCTCAGCACCGGCGCATAGGACCGCTCAGCACCGGCGCACGGGACCCTTTAGCATCGGCGCAGGGGACAGCTCACCACCGGCGCACGGGACCGCTCAGCACCGGCGCACGGGACCGCTCAGCACCGGCGCACGGGACCGCTCAGGACCGGCGCACGGGACCGCTCAGCACCGGCGCACGGGACCGCTCACCACCGGCGTACGGAACCGCTCACCAACGGCGCACGGGACAGCTCACGCTCACCACCCGCAGACGCTTGCCTCACACAGTGGCACACGGCCCTCACTACCGATACACACGGGCCATGCGAGTGCACCCACCTCATTCTTGTAGTTGACGCACTGGGCGTAGTTGACGGAAGGCGCCGTGGCCGGGGCCGTGTTCAGGTCGCGGAACACCCCCATCAGGCGCAGCACGTTGCCGGCACCGACGGTCACCTTGCGGTACACGGTACCCTGATCTGAAACAGGAGGACGCGACATCAGCGCGAAAACGAATGATAAACAAAGGGACGAACGGGTGGTAATGGAGCGAGGCGAGAGGCAATCGCTACGATTAATCAGCGGACAGCAGAGGCTGTCCGCCACCGGCGCTGGATACTGAAACGCCTGATCATGGACATACTGGACAGGAATACTCGGTAAGGAATGATCGAGCATGCTGATCACCATCAAGGGTACAGCGCCGTGCACAGAGTATTGGAGGACGCCTTGGGCTTGGGGCTACGACGTCACCATCAAGGTCACAACACCGTGCAGAGGGCACTGGAGGACGCCTTGGGCTTGGGGGCTACGGCATCACCATCACATCCCCATCCCATCTGAAGTGAAGCATGCGTTGACGACGCGTAGGAAACCTTGTAAAGGGGGAAGTCCTACTACAACGGAGGCTTGCTCCCGACCACGAACGGAACTAGAATGTGACTCTAACCCAGAGGTATCGGGGTCAAAAACCGTCAGGTCAAGCGCCCTAGCATTCCAGCTATTGTCCTGCCCCGCAATTAGACGTACGTGGTCTTGTGTGAACACTATCGAGACAATTACAGCATAGCGCCGCCCGGCCGTCCAGCTGATCGGAAATACATCCATCAGCTGCTTACCAGCCATGAAGCCCTGTCCAAACCACCGTATATCATTGTTCGAGCCACTTTGTCTTCCTATGGTATCGCCACACACACGGGGCAGACGCAGGACGTCACGGATTTCAGTTTTGTTCCCATTACTGAACCCAGCCGCAGTCACGGTTTCTCGCGTCTTTTTGCCGCGGACTGCGTGGCGACTTATGCACGTCGGGAAAAGGAAAATGTCCGTCAATCACAAGAGCACCAGCCTGGCATGGTGCTTACAAAACAGAGATGCACGGCGTGCCGCCGCCCGACGGCAGCCAGTGCGCCCGCTAATCAAACAGCATGACTTACGCGCGGCCACCAACAAGCGCTTGATCGCTGTATTAGCGGCCGTGACTGGCGCACGACGGCCTGCGAACCGAGCCGAGGTCGGTCAAGGCCTGACCCGGCGCGCGCCTGCTCACCATTATCGGTCATGACGTAGGCGGGTACGTCGTACCGCGACAAAAACACGGCCAGCCGGGCGGCGGCCACCTCCTCAATGCTGCTGTAGAAGGGCGCCGTCTTGCCGTCCTCGGACACGAGCGAGAACCATCCTGAGGCGACAGAGAGCACGGTCAGCGGTGGCTCCATGGGAGGCGGCACGGCCCGGTCCTGGGTTAGCGAGCTACCATTCTCAGGGCAATGCAGTTAGCTGTAGAGCATTTACTCCTTCGGTGAGTAACTAAATTTCAGAATCTTTTAAATGTTCTGGTTGCATACATCAGCTGGCGCTGCCAGCACAGACGTTTCAGGCTAGGTACTTTCACTTCGATCATGTTTTTTGCGAGTTTAGTCCTAGATGTTCTCTTGCTGACCGTTACTTATTCCATTCCAGCGCAACCCGTTTTCTTAATAAGACGCAGCACAGCGAATCTCCAACTGTGCCTTGTAAGTTGTCCTGTTTCGTTATAAAACTCCTCCTCGACATCGAGAAAAAGCTCGCAATGTCAGAACCAGTATCAGGAGTTTTAGGTTCCACTCCGGAAACTTAACTCAAATTCGTGCGTGATATGGAGATGATAAACCCCGCTTCTGCTACAAAAACTGGCTTATCGCTTGAAAACTCACCCCGAAACTCCTTAATCGCTATCGCTAATCGCTAAGTGCTTGGACTTTGAATGCATAGCAGCCTTTACCGAGCACGCTGAGCACGCTGACGCGTCCCGCTGTTCCCTCCAGCGCCACCAGTGCATGCCCTAGAAATGCAACGACACAGCGTTCTCGTTTTACATGTCGTGCGCCGACTTGCGCAAGGCAACTGTACACAGCCTAGCTGCTGGCTTGGGCGAGGCACACGGCTATGGCCACCGCTGTTGCCTGGGGCCCGGCGTGCCCGCTCTGACACCTCATCCCTCAGCGCCACCCAGTGCTCCAATTGACTTGTTGGGTGTTCGCTAATCGGTGGCATCCGTCATCATCTTCATCAATCATCGCTCCCGCGGTTGGCGATTCCCGAGCGCGGCGGTCAGCGAGAGCGCCTGTTTGGCTAATACAGGGCCGCCTCGGGTGGGGCCCTGTCTACCGGTCCACACTACGTGGAGCCCTGTCCACTGATCCACACCACCTGGGGCCCTGTCCGCTGGTCCGCACCACATAGGGCCCCGTTCGCTGCACACCACGTGGGCCCAGCCGGCAAGCAAACAAATACCTCCCTTGTACCCAGCTGTTCCCAGCCTCGCCCAACCCGTCATTGGGGCTAGTTAAGTGCGTTGTGTGCCTAAGTTAAGCGCCTCACCCAGTGCGTTAGTTAAGGCATAGCTTATCATTAAGAAAACAGCTTATTTTTCATACAAGTAGGGTCATGTGGAGAGGTCAACTGAAACGCGCTTTTAGTTGTATAAGTAAGACGTTGCAGTACCCTTTCCATTCATATCTTTGTGGTTTTGACAACCATTTTATCTTCGTAACGCAGTATTGCTGCAAGACTTTAGCTTCAACATCGGACCAGTGATGTGAAGTCGTACCAACGTGAGGCGCGACAGTTGCTGGCTTGAGGCGCGACAGTTGCCGGCTTGAGGCGCGACAGTTGCCGGCTTGAGGCGCGACAGCTGCCGACCTGAGGCGCGACAGTTGCCGGCTTGAGGCGCGACAGTTGCCGGCTTGAGGTGCGACCTATCACTTTGAGTTACGGATGAGCCGAACTCTCAAGTGCAAAATCGACATTAGCTTCGTTGTTCTGTGCTTGTTGGGACCCAAAAGCTGCTTTTGGAATTGCGCTTCTTGTGTCTGGGCATGATGAAGCTGGAATGCTTTTTAGACGGGCCAGATCCCTCCAGCTCGGGGAAGAATGCGAAATTGAAAACTGAGAAAAGCGTCTGACTGCGCGTACCTAGCGTTATACAGAGCAAAGAATAAACCAGCCGCAATACCCTTTGTTAAAGAGAATGTTTCACATTTGAAGATATTGCAGCAAGCATCAGATATGCTGAAACAAAGTCCCTTATAACCATTGGTGTACTTTTTAGGCGGAAAATACTGATCTTGCCAGCACAATGATCTGTTTAGCAAATGCGTTCCCCAATGCGTCATGGTTTGATTACGTCATCGCATCTTGCACAACATTGATTGAAAGCCAATTGGCAGCGGTTATATCTGGAAATCGCGCTCACGAACGCCCGATATGAACGCCTCGACAATTATATTTTCCGTGGCCTTGATCGCCGCATGGCTTATGGAATAACGGGATTTGAATGATGGTATCATGAAGGTATGAACGGCAAGGCGACATTGAAGTATTATCCCCGAAATACTATTCCCATTTTCGCGGGCGTGTATCTCAGAAATTGGAGGGGATCAGGTCGTCAGAAAAGTAGGATTGTGAACAGCACTGAAAGGTCTTCGAGATGGCTATGTCAGTTTTAAAAACCCATACAAATGTGGAACACACCCTCTAACATCTGTTGTTCTCAGCTTGAGTCAAACACAGGTCTTATGGATTTTCCTGACGGGACGGGAGCGAGAGGCAGCACGGGCCGCTCCACCCAATGGCCCGCCCCACCCCATTTCTGGAAGCAGACTTACGTAGGCTCCGTGGCGTTGCATGGAAAAAAAACGAGGCAAGCATTGCTTTGCTCCCCTTTCCTCCTATATTTTCTTGAAAAACACGTCAGCCTAGACTATCCAATAACTTGCATAAGCCCTCCAACGGACTGGCGACGGTGGGGTCGTAGAAGTAAGCAGTTCATACCAATATCCCGTGAGGCAGCTGTCGGGGCCCGGAAAGTGACGATTACGTAATTGGCGTGCTGTCCCCCAATCACCCGTATTTATCGCTATTTTCCCGGGCGGGTTTGCGCTGCTCGCATACTTGTCGCGGGCCGCGGCACTCAGCGCCTCGACCGAATGGGAGCAAGGCCGACCATTTTGGAGGCAATTGATCACTCACCACTACCAGCGTGTGGGAGAAACCGGACCCGCCAGCTTCCGCCGCGCCGCAGCGTCTGTCCGGAAAGAGCACGCGCTATGCGAAAACTGCGCGCTGTTTTGGACAATTGTTTGCATAAGGTTGTAAGACATTTATTTGCGCAGATTTTTTAATGACTTTGTTTCGGTGTTTGTTTTGCAAAACGCTGTAAGGTGGTGTTCCCTTGAAATAAACAATACCGCTATCAACTAATGGTATGGTATGGTACATTTAGGCGTGTCAGGAAATACGCTGTTCCAAATGGGTACTTGCTTTAGATAACCTACCGTAACCAGCAAAAACATCCGTGTCGCTGCGGTTGGTAATGTACCGCAATAGTTCCAATCATTTCTTAAATATTTAGGAAGGCTTTTGATTGTTTCAACCCTTGACGAACAGGGGTCTCAAATGTTCTTTTGGGGCTCTCCGAGAATGACTCATGACCCAAGAAACACAAGATGCTTTATATATGCTATATATATGCTATATGCTATGCTATATATATATATATATATATATATATGTATATATATATATGATACAATATACATTGCATTACAATACATTACATAGCATATACATTAAAGACCCAAACCGTCGATCGATCAAGTCATCGTGGTAGCATCTCGAAGGACAGGCCACATGCATCATAAACACTTCTCACAAATCGCTGTAGCTGTAGTCATATAGCCTACGTCTAAACCTACAGCCAACCGACCATATGCTCGGTATGCCTATATATGCCGTTTCAGATGAAAATATGGTACCTTTTTCCGGTGCAGTCACCGACTGTTCGACAATACTTAATTGGAACAGTTTTGAAGGTACAGGAAGTGCGTCTGAAGCGTCACCGGAAGAGCTTGCAATGCCATAGAAAGGCCGTCCGGCTGTTGAGCAACACACGCCACGCCACAACAGGCCCGGTACCATCACAGGCTATCATTCACCGAACATCCCTGACATGCGTCAGCAAATAGCGTCAGACTCTTACAATGTAAACCTCACAAGACTTCCTTGGCCGGAGCGCCTTCCTTATGAAATAATTGTCAGTTAAATGATGTAAGCTGACTAGATGATTGGACTGTTAGCCGTTGTTAACTGCGTGAAGAAGCCACGTCTTTCCGACAAGCCAAATTACACCAAACACCGACACACGTGCGTGCCATGCATGGCCAGGAAAGTCGTGCGCCACGTCTCGTTTTCCTCTGTCTGGACGTCAAACCGCTCAGACCGCTCACAGCCTCACCGAGTCTCTGCTGGGGTGAGTGGGGCGTGTCGCATATGCCATGACTATTCTCGGACGCTTGGCCTTGGAGATCTTATCAGACACCTGGACATTTGCTAGGCAATGTACTCCGGGCCCCAGTCCGCCCCAAAGGTCTTCCCAGCGTATCAGGAGCTACTTAACCTATCAATATATTTGGCCACTTCAGCGCCCCTCGTGATAACAGAAAACCTCGGCCATTTCGGCGAGCATTGTGAGTTGGGAATTATTTTTCTTGCACTATATTCGACCCTTAATATACCGGAAGGCGCTGGTCAAAAGGCGTTATCAAGCAAGCATTTCCCATTTCCACAAAACTCGACGTTACAAGCTGTGCTCATGGTCACGAAAAAAACTCCCAACACTTACTGCCTAAAAGCTAGGAGCTCACAAGGCCTTATTCCCTATGTCAAGCACCTGGTTGAGGGCCCCGTACAAGACAGTTGGTTTCGGCCGCTCATGGGCACTGTTTTTGCGCTTCTGAGCAACTGCACTTTTGACGAACATCTCTCAAAAACGCAACGCACAAGCTCATCGACGATATTGGATCATCAACACATCCGCGCGCCGAGAAAAAGGCCGAGCCCTGCCTATACGAGGGTACAGAATCGGTCTGTGGGTGCGGAGCCGCCGCCGGCATGGGAGTGGGAATGGCCTCGCTGCTGTAGACACGGCTGCCGACCTTGCAGCAGGGCCGAAAGCAGCGCTTGGCCACCACACGGAACCGAGCCAGCGTGACGTCACGGACAGGCGTGACGTCACAGACGGGCGTAACGTGACAGACCTCCCGCGGCGACGGCGGCGGCGGCGGGAGGGGACGGTGGCGGCGTCGGACACAGCCGCCTCCAGCGCAGGACGCGCGGGGTGAACAACTGGGCAGGATGCGG